GAATTCTTTTAAATATATGATTTTAGAGTAGTCAAACCACAAAAAGTCCTGCTTACTCCTGAACTGCAAAGTCCAACCCTAAAGGTCAAGTGTATTGGTTTCAGCTGAAAACATATGAAATAAGTTTTTCTGTTCATTCATTCATTCATTCATTCAACAAATGGCTTTTATAGAAATACAGTCTGTTTATCACAGTAGCTAAAATTTATTCTTAGAAGTTTTATAGTTTAATTAAAAACAAAATAAATTCATTATTGTCTAAACATTGATAATTCATAACTAATTAGTTTATCCATATAAATGTTTTAAAATACTTTCCTCATGAAGAAAAAAAAATAAGGCTAAAAATAGTTCTTGAGAAGGGGCAGGGATAATGGTTAGGAAGACTGAGTGAGTTCAAAGCCTGATGCCACTTACTAGCAGAGTGCCCTTGGGGAAATGACTTAATATCCCAAGCCGTAGTTCACACCTCTACAGAATAAGAACAATAATAACAGAACCTACTTCATGGGATTGCAGTGAGTACTTGGGTGAAGTTATTATTATTACTTTGAGGAGAAAATACTTGGAAAGTCATTGCTTTAGATAATACGGCTTGAGAATGTGTCTGGAGGAGAAAACCAAATCAGCACATCGATGACAATGCTAGAGTAAAAGAAGTCTACATTAAGGTGATCCTCCTGCTGGTGCTGAGGAAGCAGAAGGAAGATGTGTTCAATTTGATTGGAGGCTCATGATGGGAAAATCTTGTAGGGATTGAGTCAAAGATTTGGTCTGCAAAGTACAGAACTTCAGAGTAGAAGTGAATGAAGAAATTCAGTCCATCTCCTTCATACAGTTTCTCACGTTCCCCTTGGGAAAATCATGTAAGTAGCGGAAGGCACACAATGCAGTGTTGGTTATGGAGATTATTGCTTTGGTCACTTGGTGCTTTATGTTGGAGATGCTCCTGGAAAATCAGATGGTATTTCTTCATATTTGTATTATGTGAAGGACAGGGAAGCTGTTGGACAGGACATGTTGGCCCATGTTTCTTCAGGGTGCTTCTGTTAGATTTTAATTCTCCATCAGTTCTATTCTACCTCTTCTGTCTATCACCATGCAAGAGGAGAAAGCCCCCAGGTCAAACTCATAGCTGCTTGCAATAGAAAGCTATTGGTATAACCAATGTGGACAGGGAAACCAAGAATGTTTGCTACAGACCATACTTTTTTATCTTTGAGATCCATCTGCAGCCATAATAGGCTTTATTTTATTACTTTTTGGTGCTTTGGAGTGGCAAATGGCACAAGTGTCTTAAAAAAATAAAGAGGTTTGAGGAGCATAGACTACAGTACACACTGCTGTAGAAGACCCTGAAACTAATATGAATGCTTAACAGATCCTTTTTTTGGGAGTTCATTTAGATGCTCTCATCATAAGCTTGTGCTTCTACTTTTCTGGGTTGCTTAAATCATGTCAGTCATCTCTTTCATCCCTAAATGGTCCATGTTGAATGTTTCTGTCTATTGCCAATTTGAAGATGCTAGAATTAATGATTTGTACTTCTGAAGAGTCTAGAAGTGTCAGGAGGTGCACCAGTAGCCTCCTTAGTTCTATGAGACTCTTATTACTTCTGGAAAATGTCTGATCTTATTGTAGCTTAGGTTAATTTTTGCTGTCAATATAGAAACTTCTCTTTGTGCTTTCTAATAGGAAGTCCTAAAAGGCCAGACAATGGGTTAAACTTAGTGTTTATATATATTAACCATATACTGTATGGTTATGGTTTATATGTGTCATAGGAGTTTTCCCATTGTTTCTTTCCTTTTTATTTTTATTTTTTATTTTAGTAAATCTTCTATTCATTTTATATACCAACCACAGATCCCCCTCTCCTCCCTCCTTCCAAACCCTAGTCTCCCCCCTCCACCTCCCCCAAGGCAAGGTCTCTCATGGGGAGTCAGCAGAGCCTGGCACATTCAGTTGTACCAGGTCTGAGCCCTTTTTTCCTGTGCCAAGGCTTCAAAAGGTGTCCCATCATAGGCACTGGGCTCCAAAAGCCCACTCATGCATCAGGCATGGATTCTGATCCCACTACCTGGGGGTCCCCTAGACAGTTCAAGCTAAATTACTGTCTCACCTATCCAAATGGCCTAGTCTGGTCCCATGGGGGCTCCACAGCTATTGGTCCACAGTTTATGCGTTTTCACTAGTTTGACTGGTCTTCTTTGTATGTTTTTCCATCATGATCTCAATGTCCCTTGCTCATATAATACCTCCTCTCTCTCATCAACTGGACTCCTTGGAGCTTGGCCTGGTGCTTGGCTGTGGATCTCTGCATCTGCTTCCATCAGTCACTGGATGAAGACTCATGGGGACTCCTCAGCCATTGGTCCACAGTTCATGCGTTTTCACCAGTTTGGCTGGTCTTTTCTGTACTTTTTCCATCATGATCTTGATGTCCCTTGCTCATAGAATCCCTCTCCTCTCTCCCATCAATGAGATTCCTGGAGCTTGGCCTGGCACTCGGTTGTGGATCTCTGTATCTGCTAGGTTATTCAGCTATCTGATCACCAGAGCAGGCCAGTTCAAGCACCCTCTCAACTATTGCCAGTAGTCTAAGGTGGGGTCATACTTGTGGATTCCTGGGAACTTCCCTAGTACTCTGTTTCTCCCTTTTCCCATGATGTCTTCATTTATCATGGTATGTTTTTCCTTGCTTTCCCACTCTGTCCCTGTTTCAGCTCAAACCTCCCATTCCCTTATGTTCTCACCCCTCATCCCTTGCCCTCCATTACCCTCCCACACCCAGTTTGTTCATGTAGATCTCATCTATTTCTCCTTCTCTGGGCAATCCATGCCTTCTTCCTGGGGTACTACCTGCTAGCTAGCCTCCCTGCAGCTGTGGGTTGCAGTCTGGTTATCCTTTGCTTTACATCTAGTATCCACTTATAAGGAGTACATACCATGTTTGTCCTTCTGAGTCTGTTACCTCACTCAGGATGATATTTTCTAGTTTTATCCATTTGCCTGCAAATTTCATGATGGTCAATAAGATAAAACGACAGCCTACAGAAAGGGAAAAGATCCTCACCAACCCCACATCTGACAGAAGGATGATATCCAGAATATATAAAGAACCTAAGAAACCTGACATCAAAATACCCAACAATCCAATTAAAAAAATGGGCTACAGAGCTAAACAGAGAGTTCTCAACAGAAGAATCTCAAATGGCTGAAAGACATTTAAGGAATTGCTCAACATCCTTAGTCATCAGGGAAATGCAAATCAAAATGACTTTGAGATACCATGTTACACCTGTCAGATGGCTAAGATCAAAAACACTGAGGACAGATTGTGTTGGAGAGGATGTGGAGCAAGGGGAACACTCCTCCACCGTTGGTGGGAATGGAAACTTGTACGGTCATTTTGGAAATCAGTATGGTGGTTTCTCAGAAAACTGGGAATCAATCTTCCTTACGACCCAGCTATACCCAAGGAATGCTCAATTATACCACAAGCACACATGCTCAGCTATGTTTATAGCAGCATTATTTGTAATAGCCAGAACCTGGAAACAACCTTGACTGAAGAATGGATTAAGAAAATGTGGTACATATACACAATGGAGTACTACTCAGTAGAGAAAAATAACGACATCATTGTTTATTTTCTTACCCATGGCTCTAGTTTGAGGCCCATGAACAAAGCTGCTGTCAAAATGCATGTACATGCCTTTATATAAAATGCAAGTATAGGGCATATGATCTCATTTCTCTTGGTCAAATACTCAGGAGTATCTCATTTAATGACTGACAGGTATGTACTAAGTATTAAAAAAAACTTAAAATTACACTTGGCCAACTTTTAATTCTTAGTTTTTTTTTTAAATAAATGCATAATGGCACCCTTATGTGGCTTTAATTTTCATTTCCTAATGACTAATGATGTCGACTAACTTTTCATGTACTTCTTTCCTTCTGTTTATTTTGTTTTGCAAAGTATCTGGTCAGCTGTTTTATCCATGTCATGTTGATAGTTTTGGGAGTTATACAGATTAGAAAATAACATTATTGTGTAAATTGTAATTTATCCTTCTTAATAACCCAGATACTTTAACCTCAAAGCAGTCATGGTCACCTTAGAACCCATGACTCACAGCCATTGGATGTCATTTTGATCTTGCTTCTAGTTTAGTCCCTGTTTAGACCATGCTTAGGTTTTGTCTGGTACCTATTGTGTGTACAGAGTCTACATTGTCAAAAAGAATTTTATATAATGATTGAAAGTTTAATTTGATCTTAGTGAACTATTCTATTTTTAAAAAGTAAACTCATTGTAGAGGGTATGAAGCTAATGATGGATCAAGAGGAAACCAGCAAGCATGAGTGAGAGAAAAGGAGGGCAGGAGGAATGAACAATTTTCTGTGCTTATCTTTGTCCATTTTCCACCTTGATTTAAAAGTGAAATGTAGGAGCATAAATCTTCATAATGAAACATACTTTAAATTTCAATGAGTTAGTATAAAATATTTGAAAGATGTAAGGGTTTCTTTAAGTAGGCAATGTTAGAGGCACAACTGTACTAAAAATTACTCTAATAATAAATCGTCTCATTAAGGTGAACACACGTGTGGCTCTTCTTAGGATGAGGAGAAGCAGTAGGGGCTGATTCCTAGGAAAACAGGACACGTTTAAATGAGGGTATCTGCTCAGCATGTTGTCTGATTCTTAGACTATGGTTCTTAATCCCTCTTTTCTATGCCTGGGAAAGCAAGCAGCTGTGTTTCAAATGCAGATGTTTTAAATTTTCAAGCAGATTTCCCAAATGCCCTTGTTCCTATTTTCAGGATTCCACTCCACTGGAGCCCTGATTCCCATCTGAGGGACAGTCCAGAGCTGTGAACCAACCTCTTTTGCAACTTAGTTCTTTCAGCAGGTTCTTGGCCTTTTTTTCAGTATCTCAACATTTCCGTTGTACTGCCAGGAATGAAGTCTCTTTTCCTATTACCACAAAGACCCTCTTCCCTTTCATACTATGTCAGAACTGATAGTTAGATGATCTCTCATTTGTGCCTTCACATTCTCTATTGTCATTTAAACACCAAAACCAACTTCACAATCTTTTTTCTTAGCGTTCTGTCCATCTCTTTAATATACTGGAGTTTATTGTGTAAACCTTCAGCCTTCATTTTGCTCCAATCCTCAGGAGGTAAACATCTCAGTTATTGAACTGCTAGATGTATGACAGACACTACCAAATAAACTTCAGAGGAAACCCAATGTAAGAAAAAGATGCCACTGCAAACAGTATATGTATTTTAGAAATAACCTCAGGAGGCACTAGGCAGTAGGGAAGTGAGACAGAAAAGTGAATGTGTATGTTTGGAACCACACTGGGACTTATGAGTGCTCTATGGAGCACTTTGTGGAGACTGTTTCAGAAAGTGAGTTTGTTGTGTCTTTATTGACTACAATGTGTCATTGCCTTGGTGGCTTTGATATCTCAGCATTTCAATTGACTCTGTGAATGGGAGAAACTTGCTCCTGAGAGCAGAGAAACTCAGGCTAAGAGTTGGCAGATAATCATAGATAGAAACACTGAAGCTGAGATTTGGTGAGAAGCCTGGGAGCATAGGATAGACATTCTATCCTCTGCTTTTGGTCATCTTTGCTTTGTGAGACTCGTCAAATTCTTAGTTTGCATTCCTCAAAACATTTGTCTTCTTACTCAGCACCAATTGCTCATGCAGTGCTCTATGCATGAGATAGCCTCCATTCTCTAGGGTCCACTCCACTGCCCTGTTGAACTCTGTCTAGTTCCTCCAAATCTTGGTTCAGCTGCCACTATCTCTTGGATACATTCCCAGCCTTCAGTGGGCAGAATTATGTCATATTCTAAACCCACTCAGTATGCTGTACTTAATTTTGATGTGAAGCTTATTATGCTACTGTTGTTATACTTGCTTTTCTTGTTGGTCTCCCCAAAGGGACTTGGAGCAATTTGAGGAGCAAGATGTCTTTTATGTACCTTTATGTTTCTATGAATGTACCATGGAGCCTCAAAATGTATAAACAACCAAAAGCTTTGGAGTGATTAAACAATTAATACTCATGTATGATACTTAGATCTTTTCAAAAGTGCCATAGCTTGTTAATGGAAATGTTGAAAGGAGCATTATTGACTTTTAACACTCATTCTTCAAGAAGGTTCTGTGTTTCTTAAGAAACTAGAGAGGAGATAGTGAAGATGGAGGATGGTGAAGATGTCGTGAGGAAATGTTATTATTCTGCTTTGTTTGTGGAGAGAGCCATGGTGGCTTTGCTTAGTTTTAGGGCCATACCTAAGGAGCTTTGCAGTAGCTAATTACATGTCCAAGTTGAAGAAACCTGGTTGAATGGAACTGCACTCAGATGGCAATGGTTTCATTTTCAGATTCTTATTGGTGCTTCATTGCTAGGAACCCCATTTCTCCCCTTTCATGATATGGTTGACTCAGTAATTACAGCCCATATTGTTAGCATACAAATTCTTCCCAAGTGAGTGCCGCAGAACCCCAGAATAACTGACAAGTGCTTTGTCACCTTTGTTTTTAAGCAAGCTAATAATCATCTCAGATAGCTTGCTTGTGCTCAAAGCTAGCTGACAGCTAATCTGCACATACATATATGCATTAGTGTGCACAAGTGTGCACATACTAGTGTGGATGTCAGAGGCTGACATCTAGTATCTTCTATTCCTCTTTGCTGTTGTGTGCTATTTTGTTTGTGTTCTGACAAAGCTTGCCTTGGAGATCAGGGAAGCAGAGCAGCAGCTTCTAGAAACTTCTTACCTCTAGGAATCCTCAGACAAATTGGGGGCTGAGATCCTGTTTTCACCTACCTTATATTCTTGTGTCCACCTCCTTAGTGCTGGGATTAAAGACATGCACCACCATCATCCAGCAATGTTTCTCTTTTAGACTGGTTCAATTGCATGTATCCCAGGGTGGCCTTGAACTCCTGATCTTCCTGCTTACTCCTCCCAAGTGCTGGGATTAGAGGTGTGTGCCACCACTGTCTGGCCTCTATGGTTAGTTAGTAGCTAGGTACCCCCTCTGATCTCCAAGAAAGCCTTATTTGTCAAAACACAAAATATCATACACCACTCTAAACGTTTGTTGCTGTTGTTTTTTAAACAGGGTCTTTTCATTGAACCTAAAGCTTGACGGTAGAGCTAGAGTAGTCTCTGAGTCCTGAGGATCTTCTTATTTCAGCCTCTCTAATGCTGAGGTTAAGGATGTAAGCCACCTTGATTGACTTTTACATGGGTATTGAAGATCAACACTCTGATCCTCAGGCTTCCTCGGTAAGTACTTTACTGATAGCCCTAGTTCTATTGCATTGAGTTTTATATCGGCTCAGGTTCATGTGAGTCCTACAGGCATGGTTTAGAATGAAACCATGGATTTCTGTTTATCAGCTGAAAGATTTGAATGGGGGACAGGCCTTAGTGCTGGGGATTCATCAGGGCAGGCTCACAGGTGACATGCCAATGTATATCAAGATGGACATTTCACTTGACCCAGTGGTTGAGGTCCAGCAATTGGCTCTCAGTTTTGCTGCTTTGGAAACTTCCTTGCCAGATCACAAGAGCTGGATCTGTCTCTGAAGAGGATCTCTGAGAATGCGAGTTCAAAGAGACTGACAGGAACACGAGCTATGCATTTGCTTCTTTTTATTGACTTACATATCTCTCATGCATTAGAAAGTACATGCCATAACCTCCCTTTGTCATGTTCTGGAAATCCAGATTCTAATCAGAAAAGACTTGGTGAGTGTGGAATCAGAGACCAGCAGTTTGATGAGTGATTTGGATGCTTTATGGCATCTTGCTGTTAACTGGATCCACTCCCCAATAAGTGACTATCATGACATTTTAAAATGCAAATCTGAGCATAGCATCTCTTAGATTAAAAGCTTCAGTGGCTTTGATTTACTCTTAAAATACACAGACAAAAAGAACTTGTCCCATAAAGACCACCAGTGGTTTCCTTCCTCTGCCCAGCCCTGCCTCCAGCTTGCTTTGCCAACACCCCCAGGTCTCCCTACTGGCTCATCTCTTCCTTAGCTCTCAGCTCCTTAGACAAGTTAACTGTTAGTGTAAAAATGTCCACTACATTATTCACATCATCTGTAGTTCATGATTTTAATAAACATATATCAATTTCCTACTATATGTACTAGAGGTTTATCAAAACAATGAGAAAAACATAGGCCATTGCCTCATGCTGTTTAATTCTAGCCTTCCACAAAGAAAGATGTAAAATAGGGAAGAACAAACACAAGAAAGTATTTCTGTTACCTAAGTATATATGTGGGTATTAGAAAGTAATCATTGTAAAGGAGAAAATATCAGTTATACAAGGGAAGTGAGGTAGGAAGAAGCTGGTCCTTTACACCCAGGGTTGTTAGGGGAGATGATGCTGATAGAAGAACCTGCATAGAGAACTGGAGAAGGTAAGAACAGCCTCAAGGATGGGGGAAACCATTTTGGATAGGAGGAACATCAAATACAAGGCCCCAAGGTAGGGTTATGATTTGTCTATTGTGTTAGCTCAGAGTAATATTACATGTATTACTTATAGCAATTACATATTTATATGTACCATTGTTTTATTAATGCCTGTGTCTTCCTGCAGATTCCTACACTTCCTAAGAGCAGAGACTTTTTTTTTAGCTTTGTATTCCTGAACTATATAAAAAGGGTCTAATGCAAAATACATAGTTGATGCACATTTGTGAAAGTGGCAATAGGAAAAAGAAAGAAAGTGATGGGAGAAAGAGGCACAGGAAAAGGGAAAAGAGGGAGTCAGGAACAAGGATAAGAGAGAAAAGGAAGAAATCCATGAAAGACAACGAACTGGGCAACCAATCTTTTATTTGGTCAAAGATGTCTCCACCATTATTAAACCCCATCTCTCTGTCCCTGCTAGCCTTGTGTTGTTGAACAACTCCTGTATTACTGGACACATTTCCCCTCTTTAAATGTGAGGCTAAAAGTTTTTCCTGGGATAGTATCAAATTTCACAGACATGGATGAGCTCTGCAGAGTAGAATCTTTTGAGAACTATTTAGGTAATTCTCTGATAGTTGCATACATTTTTCCTATATTCACTTGAATTCCTCCCGTCAGTCCCCCCATCCACCTGCCACCATTCTATTTGCACAATTTTGTTTTCTCTTTCTTTTGAAAAATAACCTATTGACCTCAATTTGGGCTTTCCATATACTTTTGGGTGTGGAGCCATCCACCCTAGCATGGTCAACCTATCAGGACCCACACTTTTAAAGAAAACTGATTTTCCTTTCCCCAGAAGCCATCAACTTTCTATAGCTTCTGAGGTAGGGGTGGGGTTCAAGAATCCCTCTCCACTTCATTCTAGCATGTTGACTTGCTTGGCCTGGTGCTGATCTTGTACAGACCACCATAGCTGTTGTGAGTCTTAAAGATGACTTCCAACATTTATATTCTTATTTACTTTCTTTTGAATTTATAATTTAATTCTCAGAAGGCCTTGGCTTTTCCTTGTACCAAGCACTTAGGGAGACTTCCTTTTACCTTTGTCCTTCTTTGATATTGATCCTTGCTCATTTCCTTTTAATCAGCATATCCACCATTCATGTCAATGTGGAAGGCTAAGAGAATACAAAAAAAAAAAAGAAGAAGAAAATAAGCATCTTTTCTGGCACAGGTCAAATTGCTCAAATATTTGGCAAGGATTTGCTTCCTGTGACTTTTGATGTTCTCATATCACTGTCAATTGGAATAGACATTAAATTGATTTGAAACAAGGATTCTCAGGAGGATGAGGTTTTTGTCCAGCAAGATGGGCCAAACCACAAAGTCTGGTCTGGGTTTCAGGGTGGGTGAAACCCACCTTCCACAGTGTAATACGGCCTTTTCTTGAATTGACTCTGAACCAGCAAGGTAGTCGTGCAGAAGTTACACCCAACATCAATTTGTAGATGCCCCGAAGGGGCTTTGTATTTGCTGAAAAATGTGTGTGAGTCTCCCCAGATCTTCCCAACTGGTTAGATTACATGGATACCATTTTGTGGGCAAGCCTATGCATTTATCTAACCAAAGAATTTAGAAGGACATTGTGCCCCATCTAATCATTATCTTGGGTATATGGATTGTTTGGAACTTAAGGGCAGCTTAGGTGACTAACTTCAAAGCCAGAGAGACACTCTGAAAACATGTCTTCAAACTTATAGGGCAGCAATCACCAAACATTTTCTGTAAAAGGCCAGATGGTAAATATTTTAGGCTCTGTGAACCATATGGTATCTGTGGCAACTAATTAACTCTGACATTGTAGCATAACAGCAACCATGGACAGTGTCTAAATGAGTGGGGATATCTGTGTTTCAGTAAAACTTTATTTATAAAAACAGGTGGTGGGTTGATTATAAATTTATGATTATGCACATTTTATAATACATTGTTTTGTTGTAGGGCTTCTATCATATCACACATTTAATGAGAAATATATAACAAGAGATAATGTTAGTCTGACAAAGTGAGAGTTGTTCTAGCATTTTCTCCCTTAGAGTATGGTCCATGGAGCAAAAGAATCGATGTCATTAGAGGATAATTAAATATGTACTATTTCAAGACCATCCCCACCTCTATACACTGAATCAAAATTTGTGTGTTAATATAGTGCTCTTATGACTAATATGCCTATTAAAATTTTAGTTCCACTGTTTTAACACTGAGCAGTGAATGTGATCTCACAAGCCACTTCCTATTACAAAATCTGGCCTAGAGCACAGAATTCCAGGAATCCTCTGAAGCAAGAATAGTAATGTTTCAAATTTAGTTGAAATGACTCTTGTGGTGAATTTTTGTCACACAAAGAGTTGTCCATTTCCTTCTGCTTTGCAATTGTTGGTTTTTATATTGCTCCGTGAAAAAGCTAGAACTTTCCTGATTTGTACTTTGGCTTTCTTGGTTTCCTCAGCCTAGATTAACTGCATATTAACTAATCCCTTTCATGGGTAAAATCACAAGGAGCCATTGGGGATTAACTCAGTCCCCTTTTCCTTTGACATGATTGTTTCATTTTCTAAGGTCTCATTTTCTGGCCCAAACACTCCATGTTGAACATAAGTTCTAAACTATGATTTCTCTGAGCATGGAGGTCTAGATCTTGACTGCCTTTGAAGTGCCAATGGCTGTTCATTGGGCAAATATACATATAACAACTCCCCTATGTATAGTATCTGTAATATACAGGACAGTAGATATATGTATATTTGCCCAATGAACAGAGAACACACTCCCTTTTTCTCTAAAACAACACACACTTCCAAATAACTTAAATGAACTGTGTTTCAATCCTATTTAAATGAGACAGGCAACTAAGCATAGTAGGTCATGCCTGTAATCCTAACACATGGAAGGTGGAAACAGGGGCATTGTTAGTTCAAAGCCAACATGGTTTTCATAGGAGATTCTCCTCAAAATGAAACTAAAAACAAATAAACAGAAATGAAACAGATAAAACCCAGTCAACAGTGTGGTACTTAACATTAACTCAGGGTTTCTGGGGTTAGCTTACAGATTCTGAACTAGTTTCAGATGGAAGAAGATACAGATAGATAGAAGATGATAGAAGGTCATGGGGAAAGTCATATTTTCCAGCACCTGATCCAATCTTCCAGATGTCATTTGGATGAAGGAAAAGTGATAACCTACCACTGATACACTGGTATTTTAGAGTCAGGAGAAGCTGATTCCTGTAGGCAGTTTTCCAAGAATGAATAAACCATTCCTGATTTATACACTCATCTGTTCTGTGATTATTGATATTTCAGTCACAAATAGTACTGACTTTCCTGCTATGACTATCTAGAAGCCATGTAAAGAGGAGCACAGCATAGATCCTGACCTTTCAAACCGGTTGGGTGAGTGTTCTAGTTTTCTTTTTCTGGGGGAGGAGATCAAAGCAGGTCTTCTCTGTGTGACCCTGGCTTTTGGAGTTCACTTTGTACACCAGCCTGACCTCAAACTCACAGAGATCCTCCTGCATCTGCCTCCTAAGTGCTGGGATTAAAGGCATGCACCATCACTGCCCAGTTCTAAT